TAATAATAGAACTTTCCCACCACAAATGAAGTATGTGCCACCTTTTAGCTGCCTCGCGTCTGTCCGTCTAGACTTCATTTCCTACAAGGCGATTACAAGGTGTACGCTTTGCAGATTCAAGAAGGGCGTGAAAGTCGGCGTTAGTGGAGATTGTCCTGGTGTCGTACAGAGCATGAGACAATCTGCGACGGGCGACCCGTTGACATGTCCTTTTGGTCCGAAATCCATAGCGTCCTGTGCACCCTGACAATAGTCTTGATGATATCCGACGCCGGATGTGTTTCAGCGTGCAGACTTTTTTCTTACATGCTGCACCTGCGATTAAGTGTTCTTCCAATTTTAGTAGCCTTCCCTGAGCATGTTAGCTTTCACAAGCATTCGCTGACCTATTTGGATTGAGGAACCATCTAGCGACTGAGCCAGACTAGTGCTTCTGGCAAGGGGTCCGCAAAGCCGGAAACTAGAACTCCTTTTCAGCTTAGGAGACTTTGCTGGAGAATACACTTCCACTGTACTTCGCAGTTCGGCACCCAGAGTCACGCCCGCGCCACAACGATTCTGTAGACTATCACGGGGAGCAGTCCTTTTAGAGTGTGCTATATTTGGTACATTAAAGGAATCTTAAAGTACTATGGAGTTAATGTAACTATTCATAGGCGTTCAATTCACTATGCCGCACAATTTTTTTCAAATTGGGGCGGACCTTGACTAACCCACAAAGTGGCTGAAGTTTTTGATATCATATTTTGGTATTTGAAGTTTGTTGAAGAAAGAAGTTGGTGTTGGATTCGACTCGGTTGATCCTTCACACCTTGCTAAAGCTTGTGACTGAGAGGTCGATTGCCATTCTTCTTTCTCTAGTTCTCAGCCCTCTCCTTGTCCCTTTGAATGGGAAAATCTAGCAGCTTTGTAAAAATTTTTATTTACATATCGATCATACATCAGTAGTCATAATGAAGACACATCGATTTGTACGAATACAATGGGAGAAATGCGAAGCAATAAATAAAACTTTAAAATCCTCTGGTAGCGTTTTCATAATCTTTAGTGAACTGGTCCAAGTAGGGATATGTGCTCTCATCCAAGTATCTTGTGCATTTCAAATATACTAGTAATACTTGATGTACGTAGAGGTATTGATGCTCTGTCTGAAAATTGTAATGAAAAGTGTTTTTAGCTGCTGGCTAATTGTAACTCACCTGAACACTGTTATTTCGTTCTTTGCGTAGGTCTAACAGATATCCGCGCATTTCCAGTAAAGGCTCTGGCCGGTGGAGCAGTTCCATAGCATGTTGGATCAATACTATAGAGCCTGTTCGTCCAATACCAGCAGAGCAGTGTACGATAATTGGTCCACTAAATGGTTTGGTAAGGCGATTGTTCTCAGAATCTAAGCCAATGCGTACTTGCAGCTCTTGAGTTTTGACAGTAGAGCAATAGGAGCAAGGTCGGCCTCTGGAACGCCACGATCCGGCCAATCTAACCAATGATAGTGAGTGCATGTATGCAACACTTGTCCGGGAACTTTAACATCGAGTACTGTCATTCTTATTTGCACCTTGGTCTTTATAGAGAATGGGAACTTAAAAGATTTGATGGATTTATCTTCTCCACTAAAGTCTCTCTCTTACGTAGTCTATTTTCTTGCAAGTCACTCGCACACCATCGTCAAACTCCAATGTTCCATCAACATTTTTTGGAAAATATTCTGCGCATTTGCTGACGTTCTGAAAAAAGAACAGTATGCTGAAGAATAGCTCTTAGTGGTCCCAAACGCCTTCTTTCTATCCTAGTTTTTACCTAATGTTTCTTTGCTAAATATACCTGTTCAATAAAATTGCACAGCATAAGGATGGCTTCACTCTTCTCCTGTACGACCATATACCAAAATTCAGGGCAGGTTTTAGGTAAAGGAGCCTTCAACACCTTCGTTTAACTTGTGGAGCTTGTGGTGTAGAGTTCTTAGCTACCTGCGTGCATATAAACCGTTTTGGATGATTCGGTGTTGAGACATAGTTGGCATGGATATAGGAAACTTTGCCAATATTTAGAACCACACGACGATTGTCTAAGCATCCAACATCCTATAAAATAGGTTATTCATCAATCGGTTGAACAGCTCTTTCATAACCTTATATCTGTTTCTCCCTTCAGGATTTTGAGCAACAAATTCGGTCATTTTAGTGAGATCATTAGTCCTCTTCATGGAACGAAACTCTTCGATCAGACCGCGAACTCCTTTCCGCAGTGTTGTCTGCACGAAGACAGCAACCTAGAGAAGGTTAGTGCTAGATGCCCGTTAGTCCACAGTCATTTGAAAAGAAAACGTCACCATCGCTTTTTTCTGAGCTTTTGTTATTCGCCGCATTCGATGTTCTGCTGCTACGGGTACTTCCACTGATCTACAAATCTTTTCTTAAAGCAACTTCCGCAAATTGTCGAAAATATTTGCGAAACTGCTGATTGTGCTCCTCGTTACTCTCTTTCGGTATCAGTTCTGATACAGATTTTGCTATTATCTAACG